TTTTGAGACAGAGTCTCGCTCTGTCGCCCAGGCTGGAGTGCAGTGGCCGGATCTCTGCCTCCCAGGTTTACACCATTCTCCTGCCTCAGTCTCCCAAGTAGCTGGGACTACAGGCGCCTGCCACCTCACCCGGCTAGTTTTTTTGTATTTTTAGTAGAGACGGGGTTTCACCGTGTTAGCCAGGATGATCTCGATCTCCTGACCTTGTGATCCGCCCGTCTGGGCCTCCCAAAGTGCTGGGATTACAGGCTTGAGCCACTGCGCCCGGCGTTTCAGCCAATCTTATTTCTCAATATTTTTTATTTTTAAAAGTAGTGTTATTATAAAAGGACATAAAGTTTTGCACATGCTTGTAAACTATTTGTATTTTTCTTTTCTTCTTTTTTTTTTTGAGGCAGAATCTCACTGTCGCCCAGGCTGGAGTACAGTGGCACGATCTTGGCTCACTGCAACCCCTGCCTCCCAGATTCAAACAATTCTCTTGCCTCAGCCTTCCTAGTACCTGGGATTACAGGTGCCTGCCATTGTGCCTGTCTAATTTTTGTATTTTTAGTAGAGACGGGGTTTCACTATGTTGGCCAGGCTGGTCTCAAACTCCTGACCTCAGGTGATCTGACCGCCTTGGCCTCCCAAAGTGCTGGGATTACAGGCGTAAGCCACTGTACCTGGCCCTTGTATTTATTGTATGAATTGCTTGTTTATGGCTTGTGTTCTATTTTAAAATAGGTTTTTTTGGGTACTGATCCATAGGCATTTTTTGTAACGTATTCTGGATAGTCTCCCTTTAAAAAAATAATACGTTGCACTTATTTTCTATCCGTTGCCCTATTTACGGTTTCCACCGTACAGATGCTCTACATGTTCAGGAGTCTGTGATGAACCTGTCCCCTGTCCCACCATCCCACCTCCCCTCACCCTCCAGCCTGTGGTAAAAGAGACTGAGCAACTAAGACCCCTGAAACTCTGGCAAAACTGGCAGAACATAAGGACATCATCATTTATGAAGTTGCAAATAAGCTTCCTGGTAGACTTGACTTCCTTTTTTGTACAATCACAATAGTGGGAAAATCATCACTATGGATATTTACATATGCAAAAATGTAGCTGAGACTCTAGTCTGAAATAGAGATTTTGGAGAAGTATGACTCTGCTTACTGTAACTAAACTGCTTTTTGCTAATGTGATACATTTTCTACGCCATGGACAGTCATAGCTCTAAGTCAGGATTTAGACTGCTTAGACACTGTGGCTTATTCTTTTGTTTTGAGACACAATCTCACTTGTAGCCCAGGCTGGAGTGCAGGGGCACGATCTCAGCTCACTCCAGCCTCTGCCTCCCATCCTCAAGCGATTCTTCTGTCTCAGCCTCCTGAGTAGCTGGGATTACAGGTGTGCGCCACCACGCCCGGCTAATTTTTTGTATTTTTAGTAGAGCCAGGGTTTCACCATGTTGGTCAGGCTGGTCTCGAACTCGTGACCTCGTGATCCACCCACCTCAGCCTCCCAAAGTGCTGGGATTACAGGCTTGAGCCACTGCGCCTGGTCCACTGTGGCTTATTCTCTTTGAGATGCACATGTTCTTTAAATAATTGCTTATAGGAGATAAAACTCCAAGACAGCCAGAAGACTGCACTGGCAGGATTTTCTCCTTGAGTTGGAGCAAGGATTGTATCTAAAAACCATTAGCTTGGTCAAGCTCGGTCATGAGTCAGATAGTGTTTAAAATTGAACTCGATGTTCTCTGACCAATGTGTCAAATTAAAAAAAAAATGGAACTCGACCTTGAAAACTGTTTTTAAAAAGAAACCTTTTGAACATCATGTACTGTAAAGGAAAAAAAAGTTTTTTTTAAAGTTTTAAAAATTATTCTAAGAGGATGTTATAAGAAAGTGGCCTTGTGTCACTTTATAGGTAGCTCCAGTCCTGGGGTTCACCTACTGTGATCTGATCTGATTGTCTTGCTGAGAGAACACCCTTATGAGTAGGTCTCTCCTACAAGGAGTAGATATTCTTGCCATCAATCATGGTAGAAAAGGCTGTACTTGGCACAGAACAGGAGAATTTAGAAGGCAGGCCCTACGATGGGGATGAGGAAGAAATACTTTGGTGTGTTCTAGAGTACACATTTAGTGCTGAATGGCCTCCCATGGTAATGTGGGGGAACCTGGCCTTCACCTGTCACTGGTGTGCAGAGGCCACAGTCTATGAAACAATAGCATTTATTTCAAAGAGACTGCCCCACCATAATAAAAAAACAAACCCAGCAAAACAGGGCCAGCCCTAAATGTACACTGCCTGAAAATTATAATTTTAGGGACCTTTCAAAGACCTTGCATGTCCCAAGAGTCCTCCCCTCCTTTGTGGCTTTTCCCCTCCCAGCTTAGTAGAAGAAATCTTCTACCAAAAGGCTGAATTAAATATACATATATTGGGAAAGCATTTCTCCAAAACAATGACCAAAAACACTAACCCAGAGAGGACTAAAGACTTTTAATTACATCGCCCTACTTAAGCCTTTGTCAGTTTCCACAGGAATATAAAATATTTACATAATAGCAATCATGTGCCCATACAATAATATATCTTGAATTTTTAAAAATTAATGTTACACAGATCAAAAGCCCCTCTCATCACAGAGAGTTACATAGCGGTGATATCTGAGAAAGAACAATGATTTTGGCCTCGGGTGCTTTCCTTTGAGTCACAGCTCCAATGTAGGCAGTACAGCCCTAGACCACCTGACTCTGTTCCTTCCTTTCTACCATGACTGGCTTGCAGGGTGAGTGAGAGGAAAAGGTACAATGCATGGGGGGTGGCTGACTCATGGTGGGCAATGACTGGTAGTTAATATTTTTAGTGTTATTTTTAAAGTCAACATTTTACTTCCTGAATTGATGGTTTTGGGGGCAAGCACCGTGCCAAACCTTCTTTACAACAGAGACTGCTTTAATCCTAATCGCCCTTCAAGAAAAGCTGTATTATCTCACTTTACACCTGACACAAAAGAAGCCCACCGTGGTGATGCCACTTGCTCAAAGTCACACAGCAGGTCAGCAGAAGAGGCAGGTTTTGAACTAGGTTGGGGTCAACAGTAGTCACTACTGGCCACTACCACATAGGAAACACAAACATCACCTCAGAACAGCAGATAGCCTCTCTCCTTTGCACGTTACTTTGCAGATTCAAAAAGTCCGGAAGGCTAGGGTGGATGAGGTGAAATACAGTTTTGGTTTTTTTTTGAGATGGAGTCTCGCTCTGTCACCCAGGCTGGAGTGCAGTGGCGCTATCTCGGCTCACTGCATGCTCCGCCTCCCAGATTCACGCCATTCTCCTGCCTCAGCCTCCTGAGTAGCTGGGACTACAGGCGCCCGCCACCTCGCCCGGCTAATTTTTTTTTTTTTTTGTATTTTTAGTAGAGACGGGGTTTCACCACGTTAGCCAGGATGGTCTCGATCTCCTGACCTCATGATCCGCCCGCCTTGGCCTCCTAAAGTGCTGAGATTACAGGCGTGAGCCACCGCGCCTGGCCCAGTTTTGGTTTTTAAGATCATGAAGAAGAGGTCAAAGAAGAATCCAGGAGAAATTAAAAGAGCAAAGTAAACCTCAATACCAGTCAGTTCAGATAAATTCCCCCAAACTCTTTCACTATCTTGATGTCTCAAGAGCCACGTTTAAAATTACAAAATCTATGTGGGTTATGTCAAAGGCAATCTGTAGAAAGGGCAAAGAATATAAATAATCTGAACCTGCTGAGATTTTTTTTTTTAGACAGAATCTCGCTCTGTCGCCCAAGCTGGAGCGCAATGGCGCCATCTCAGTGCACTACGACTTCTGCCTCCCGGAGTTCAAGTGATTCTTCTGCCTCAGCTTCCTGAGTAGCTGAGATTACAGGTGCGCAGCACCACGCCTGGCTAATTTTTGTATTTTAAGGAGAGACGGGGTTTCACCATGTTGGTCAGGCTGATCTGGAACTCCTGACCTCGTGATCCGCCCGCCTCAGCCTCCCAAAGTGCTGGGATTACAGGTGTGAGCCACCACGCCCCGCCAGTTTTTTTTGTTTTATGTTTTATGTTTTTTTTTTTTTTTTTAAGTAAGATTGGGAAAATAACAAATGGTACCTCCTAGGGCTGTTGTTACAATGAAGACAAATACCAGAGCACTTTGGGAGGTGGAGGCGAGTGGATCATTTGAGGTTAGGAGTTTGAAATCAGCCTGGCCAACACAGTGAAACCTCATCTCTACTAAAACTACAAAAACTAGCTGGGCGGGGTGGGGCGCGCCCGTAATCCCAGCTTCTCGGGAGGCTGAGGCAGGAGAATCGCTTGAGCTCGGAAGGCGGAGTTTGCAGTGAGCCAACATCATACTACTGTACCCCAGCCTGGGTGACAAAGCGAGATTCTGTCTCAAAAAAAAAAAAAAAAGACAAATACCAGAAAATTCATCACAGATGAAGGACTTTGTTCCAGTTCGTGACACGTTGCCAACTTTGAATTACATCCAAGTCCGTGGGTCTTCTCTCTGGGGTCATTTGATCACACGTGATTACACTGCTCAGTGCCCAAAGGTTGGAGCTATGACCTGAATGTTTCTAGACAAGGAATTATTTGACAAACACATTATAAAAAGTAGTCAGAGCCATCCAAGTAAGAGGACATAAATAACGTACGGTTTTTTCCTATGGAGAGAAAAGAAAAGGCAAAAAGCACGTTCCACCTTCGTTCTCCCTAATTATCTCCTTCAAAAGATAAAAAGTAGGAACACATTTGCCCTTGAAGGGCAGAGCCACGGAATTAAGGAGCTCTCTGAACACTCCGCCTCTTCTGATAGGGACCAAACCTTTTGCTGAGCCTTGTGTCACAGTCAGTCCGCGGCGCGACACGCCTCAGTATTTACTTCTGCCGCCTGCCAGCCGGGCGGGGAAGGGGAGTACCCGGCCACCCCTCACTTTAGCTCCTGCAGCTTTCCAAACAAACCAGGGCGGGATGGGAGTGTCTTCTTGGCTGTGGAAATCGATCCTCCTACCTTGTCCTGAAGCCACCCGCCGCCTTTCCTCGTCCCTCCCTTCGCGGTGATTTTCCGGTCCCGGCGCCCGGCGAGGGCGCGCGGCTGGTGTCCGCCCCGCCCGAAAGGTAGGGATTTGGCTGCGCTCCCGCCTCGGCCCCCTACCTCCCCTGGAATAGCGAGGCCCGCAGCCTCCCACCACTTTGCACCTTCCTCCTCGAATTTGGGGGCGACCGCGGCCACCGTGCAACTGGCGCCAGCCGCGGAGCAGGAGGAGCTTCCCGCGACTCCGGAGGCGCTCAGCGCAGTCGCCCGGGATCCTGGCTGGCGGGAGCCTGAGAGTCCCGGCAGCGCTGCTCCCTCCTCTGCTCCCCTGCCGGATTCGGGGGGAAGGAATCGTGCCCGCGCCGCCCCTGGCCCGCGCCACCTTCCTCTGGTTTCCGCCGGCCTCGGGCTTCTGCGGCCCGATGCGGCAGGCGCCGCGAGAGAGGCAGCAGCCGGCTGGAGTGAGCGGCGCGGACGGGCTGAGAGCAGCGGCCCCCCAGGTCGCGGAGCCCGGCGCGCCTCTGCGGTCGCCGCTCCTGGGCCTCGGCGGGTCCCTTTCGCCGGCCGGCTTCGCTGCGGGTTTGCATTGCCCGGGTGAGGGAGATTTGGGGTGCGGGGAGACCGCGTCCTGGGCCGGGGTCCGGGCGGCCTAGGGTCTGTGCTGCCCGGACCCTCCGGCTTTGCAGCCTCTGAGGCTCAGGGTTGGGGGTGGGGACACGGAGCGCTGTTTACCCCTCCACATACCCTGCCAGCACCAAGGAGGTGGCGTGCGGAGGCGTAAAGGGGCCATGAGCGCTGGGACCCGCGAGCCACCCGGGGTGCGCAGCAGCCACCGCCGAGAGGGCGCCCGGGAATCCTGGAGCCCCAGTGAAGGGCGGGAGGGGCGCGCAGCCTCGCGGGTAAGCCCAGGAGCCGTGGGGGCCGAGATAGTGTGCTCTGGGACCCTCTTTTGTCGAATCGCCGGCGGGGTTATGCAATTGGGAAGCCAAGAGGAGTGTCCAGCTCCTCGTTCACTATTGTTTTCTTGTAAAAGGGTCTGTACGCGAGGAGGGTTGAGGGGTCTGGAAGGTTCGGGTCTCTTACCGTATAAAGTTTTTCGAGAAACCCTTCTTCCCTCCACAGTAGAACTAGACCTAACAAAACAAGCAGCGAGGCAGCTTAGGAGAAAGGAGGACGGTGAGTAAATTGCAGTGTTTGGGCTGCTGTTAATTTTCAAGATAAGGGCGAAGCAACTTGTCATTTTGCGGCCGCCGGTTCCGGAGATCCCAGCAATCTCAAGCGTCTTTCTTGTGTGCTGTTATTTTGGCTTAAAAGAAAACCTATGGAAAGCGACGCCCAGAAACCAAAAACAAACCCAAAGCACCTTCTTTGGGATTTTCAGTAGCGGGGGTTGGCGGGGGCGCTGGGGAGGAGCAGGCGGGGGAGAAGAGGTTGCCGTTGAAAGATGATGTTTAAAAACACTGTGTGGGGGTAGGGATGAAAATAACATGGTGACTGCTAGTGTATCCGAAATCACACCGATTCTAAACTCGCAAGTCCCATTTGCCTTACGAGGACCAGCTGGGTGCTATGAGTGGGTGGATCGTTAAGGAAACTGCAGCTCTGCTGGAAGCTCCTCGTGCTCTGTGGTCTGGTGTTCACGCTGACCTTTGAGCCTCATAACTCTTCGGGTCTCCAGGGGCCACCTCTTTTAGGCTAGCCCCAATGTTTGACTTTCCGGTCCTCAATCTTCCTCACCTAGCTGCAGACCATAAAGCTGTCTTTTTATTTACAGGGAGATGTTAAATATTTGGGAAAATCTGCTCAGGCTGCCAGGTTATTTTCTGTTTGAAAGCATGCCGATTTGACTTTTGCAAGTTGGTTGTTGCTTCTTTTTTGTTTCACTAAGAACGCTTTTCATACCAAGATCTGCGAAAAAAGATGTTATTTAGTTTATTGTCTCTGAGTAACGCCAAATTCCACAGAGGCTTTTTAGATAATGGCAACTTTGCTTATAAGAAGAGAATTTTTCTAGAAAGTGTTGCCTTGGTCTGGTTTCCTAAGTTGTTCTCCTGGTCATGTAGCCTGGGAGGGGAGATCTTCATTCCTTGTGATGTGAACTGTGTTTTTACTATAGTTCCTCAAGTCCCAGATAGCACCATATGTTGTTTACATGGTGCGGTAAAATGGGACTGCAATTTTGACTACATTTCAGCAGATTTGTTGGAGATAGTTTGTTCTTATGCCCTAAATCAATTAAAAAAATAATAAAAACCTTTGAGGCTCAAGAATAGACAGCATTGACAGAAGAATACCATTAAGAGACATACCGTTTAAAAACATCAGTCTTTCTCCTGTGAAATTGTAAATTGTAGGTGTTCTTATTCAGTGGCAGAGGACTGGATTTCACAGCTGTTTTCTTCTGTTGGAGACATTTCTGTGTTCCACATCATGTGGAACCTTATGGGAGAAGGAGTACTGCCGTGTTTCCCACATTTCCCTGATAAGCGTCATCTGCTAACCATGCAGACTGCCAGATGGCTTCCATGGAAATTGTGCTTCCATCCAGGTTTGGGGACCAGAGATCTGTTTAGCCTGCATTTTAGGTGATGCTTATTGAGAAGGCGAAGGAAGCATGGAACTCCTATTTGGCACCCACTCTGATTTTCGGTGTGTTTTCATATGCTATTTTATTTAATCTTCCTGACAAAACTGCAAGAAAGGAATTTTTAGCCACATTTATAGCTTAAAAAACCAAGATTGCCTTAGGTTGAGTTGCAGTGGCTCACATAAAGGTCTGACTCTACCTCTGCCTACACCATCGCAGGAATCCTCTGTAGTGTACATTATGCACACATTCTTCCATTTCTTGCGCATATCTTTCTCCTTTGCCTGGCATATCCTCAATTTATATATACCTTAGTCTGAATATACCTTTCTAGTTATCCCCAGGCTGGGCTTCTTGAATAGGTGGTCTGTGTATTTTGCCTTCCTTGTGACAACTTTAGACTTTCACCAGCCAGGTACCTTCTATCTTCCGCACATCTCTGATGTGCCACTTAGGTGAGCAGGGTCTGGCGAAATCTAGGAGTTTATGCTGTCTTCAATGGGCATATTCCAAAAGTCCTTTCCTTTCTGAATACACCTCAAGCTACATGTTACCTGGAAGACATTTTCCCAGGGTTACATCCCCACCCTCACAGTTGAAATGAAACATTCTCTCCTGTCTGTCCCAACTGTGATGGATAATAGCACACATCACACATCACAGTTTCCAATTTAACCCTTAGGGGTTCCCCACACCATTGTGGGGTAGCTGGAGTTCTTTCCCCTGATGGTGACACCTCAGTACTGAATTAGCTGCAGTGTGTCAGACTTGGTCAGGAACTTGACTGTCCTATAATCAGGCTAAGAAGGGCTGAGATTCTGGCGGTGACGTTGTGAAAGTAAGAGATAACAGGATCAGTAAGACCTGGTTTTCTTCCTTGTGCCCATGTTTCTTTTTCTTGGAGAGATTTTGGTCATCTAGGGGGATTGTCCAGTTTACCTTTTTACTGCCACAAACTTTCGTATCTGACCAGGGGCTTTCCTCTTCCTGGACCACTGAGAAAGAGGGAAAGGAAAGCACCCAGCCCTTAGGAGATTTTCTTAAAAACATTGAAAAGCTGAGTGAAAAGTTACCTTCTCCCCCATTTTCTTTTTCCCCTTCTTATATGCTTGGCCTTAGACAAAGTATACAGATAGCATCGTTGCATACTTTCCAATGTATTTAGTGCTGGGCTTTGAAAGATGTTTTAAACATTGATTTACTTTTTATTTGGTTGGGAATGGAAAGATCTTTAGGATATGATAAGAACAAGGCCCCCAGATGAGGAGATGGCAAGGAAGCTGGAGATTCCTCCAGAGGCGGCAGGGTTATTCTCCCCTTCCACACGTTGTGGAAACAGGCCTGGAGTTCTTATGGCTGTGGGTCAGAGTCACTATGCTGAAAGATGGGGGCAATAAGGGAGCAGAAAGTGTTCTTTTCAGTGGACTTTGGGTGTTATTCCATGTGATCATTGAGGTGGGACTTCCCTAATGGTCATCCTACATTTACTGAGTGTCCACCATGTAACAAGAAGTGTTCTTGTGGCGGGGGAGCGGGGGGCGGGGGGACGCAGGGGCTTTGCTGTGTCCCGTGTTGGTGTGTTGGACACAGCAAAGCCCCTGCTCTTACAGAGCATATGTTTTATGGGGACAGAGTCAATAAATAAGATACAAGTACATGAAACTGTATTTCAGATAGAATGACTGTCACAAAGACAGTACATTATGGAGGTGTGATCGAGAGGGGTATAGAGGAAGCTACTTTAGAGCAGTCAGAGAGCTTATCCGAGGAGGGGATATTTGAGCTGAGACGGGAATGATGAGAAGGAGCCAGGCAAGTGGAGCACAGAAGGTTAAGGGCATGGCAGATAGAGGTACCAGCACCTGCAAAGGCCCTGAGGCATGAGTGAATTTGGGTTGTTTGAGAAACAGAAGGTGCAGTGTGAGAAGAGAGTACTTAAGACAACAGGTAGTGAAAAAAGAGTGCAAAAGAGGGAGTGGGAGGAGATGCCGTCAGTAAGATAGGAAGGCAGATTTTGTGGAATTTGAATTGTATTCTAATTAGAATGGGATGCCTGGAGATTTTTGATGAGAGCCTAATTCAGTCTTCACCCAGTGGTGATGGGCTTTCCTGTCTCTTCTTTTTCTTTGTTTTTGAGATGGAGTCTTGCTCTGTCGCCCAGACTGGAGTGCAGTGGCTCTATCTCTGCTCACTGAAACCTCTGCCTCCTGCGTTTCAGTGATTCTCCTGTCTCAGCCTCCCAAGTAGCTGGTATTACAGGCACGAGCCACCACACCTGGCTATTTTTTTGTATATTTTTTAGTAGAGATGGGGTTTCGCCATGTTGGCCAGGCTGGTCTTGAACTCCTGAACTCAGGTGATCCACCCACTTCGGCCTCCTAAAGTGTTGCAATTACAGGTGTGAGCCACCACACGCGGCCCTTTCCTATCTCTCTGTCTCTGTTTCTCTCTCTCACACACACAAACACACAAATTTCTACTCATAGTTGCCTTTTT